CTGGATAGCTTTAGTGTCAACTTGACACACCTGGGTTGAGGGAGCCTCAGTCGGGGAATTGCCTCTATTGGACTGGCCTGTGGCCATGTCCGAGGGGCATCTTCTTGATGAGTGATGTGGGAGGGCCCAGCCCACTGTGGGTGGTGCCACCCCTGGGCAGGTGGGCCTGTGTTGCACAAGAAAGCAGGCTGAGCAGGGGCCAGGGGAGCAAGCCTGTAAGCAGTGTTCCTCCATGGCCTGTGATCCAGCTTCTGCTTCCAGGTCCCTGCCCTGAGTTCCTACCTTGGGCTCCCTGATGAACTGCATGCGACCTGGGAGATGTAAGACAAATAAACACTTTCCTCCCCAGGTTGGTACAGGTCAGAGTGTTTTGTCACAGCAATGAAGCACAAACTAGGACAAGGAGCAGGGGCCAGGGGAGCAAGCCTGTAAGCAGTGTTCCTCCATGGCCTGTGATCCAGCTTCTGCTTCCAGGTCCCTGCCCTGAGTTCCTACCTTGGGCTCCCTGATGAACTGCATGCGACCTGGGAGATGTAAGACAAATAAACCCTTTCCTCCCCAGGTTGGTACAGGTCAGAGTGTTTTGTCACAGCAATGAAGAACAAACTAGGACAAGTGGTCCCAGGGGAAGGAGGTGAGACTGGCGGAGCTCAGGGGTTCTAAGCGTGGAGACAGTGCCTCATTTGTGAATGCCTGATCCTTAAAAAAATGATGTTCCATGCCTGTAGTCCCAGCACTTGGGAGGCAGAGGCAGGGGGGACTCTGTGAGGTTAAGGCCAGCCCGATCTACATAAAGAGGTCCCCGGCAACGGGGGCGACTCGGGGGGCCTCGCTTAAAAAAAAAAAAAAAAAAAAAAAAAAAAAAAAAAAAAAAAGATGTTTACGCCTTTTGATATTTTGGTGTTTTTGTTGTAGTAGTTTTTTTGAGACAGGGTCTCACTATGTAGCCCTCGTTGACTTGGAATTCTCTATGTAGACTAGGCTATAGAATTCACAGCCATCTGCCTACCTCTGCCTCCTGAGTCCTGGGATTAAGGTGTGCACACTATTCTCCAGCACCTTTTGGTATTTTATAGTCAGCATTTTCTAGCCTTTCATTGGTGATTTCTGCAGCCTTAGTGGCAGAGCGTCTTCTGAGTGCTCCCACACTGCAAGAGGCTGATGGCTTGGGCTCTGTGGGCTGCCGTCCTTCCTCCACGGAGCCTGGGAGTCCTGGTCTCTGCTCTCACCTAGGGGCTGGGAACTCACCACTTTTGTCACCAGGTGGAGCACCTGCATCTCCATCTGGGCTCAAGTCCCCCTATATTTTTAAGATTATGGCTTACTCTGTCACCCAGGCTGGCCTCAAATACCCGGGCTCCAGCAATCCTCTTGCCTCAGCCTCCCTAGTAGCTGGGACTCCACGCGTGTGCGTACACAAACCCATTTGCAGACAGACGCAGATGTAGGAATGTGCCCCGTACATCAGTGGACTGAGATGGCTTCTCTCTGCCGTGGATTAGATGTTCAGTGTCCCTCAGAGGTCCTTGAAGACTTGGTCCCCAGGGTGTTGTTGGCAGATGGGGCCTAGTGGGACGTCCATGAGTCATGTGGTTGTGCTTTTAAAGGGGCTGGGATCCTGGCCCCATTGCTCTCTGTCCCTGGCTCAGGGTGTGAGCAGTTTTGCTCCACTAAGCAAAGATGAACATCAGACCAGCTAACCTTGCACTGGAACCTCTAGACCTGTGAGCTCAACAAACCTCTTTTCTTTCTAAATTGTTCAGTCTCAGGTATCTGGTTATAGACAGTAACACAGAACTAGCTAATGCACTCTATGAAGCTGTTTCCCTAATTTCCACAAGTATGCATGCCTATGCACAATATAGACGTTTATAGGTATAGGACTGTGGCTCATTCCATAACTTTTGCTGTCATCTGGAGGCAGTTGTGTTTTATCTCCCAGGGTCCCTGCAGCTCTTAAATTCCAGGATTCTACTACTGATGCAAATAGAAACAGGACCCCATCCCCCTTTAGAGGAGAGAAAGCAGAAACACAGAAATACAAAGCTTCCTCTAGTAAAAGAGTCAGACGTTGGCAAAGGAAAACCAATGAGGGAGCCCTGGGGACCCCAAGGGCCTTGTTTCTCTGGGTCTCTGTGGCAGAGCCCATGGAGACTATAGAACTGACTTTGCGGATAGTAAGCAAGGCCCCAGTCACAAGCAGAGGAGAGGGGACCGTCAGGAGCCTGAACTTGACCTTTTTCTTTTCTGTTGTAACATTTAAAAATATTTATTGATTGATTTATTAATTAATTTAGCATGTATGTGCACACAGGTGAGCATGCCACAGCACACATGTGGAGGTCAGAGGACAACTTACAGGAGTCAGTTCTCTCCTTCCATCATGTGGGTTTGGGGGATTGAACTCAGGTCGTCAGGCTTAGCAGCAAGGACCTTTACCCACTGAGCCATCTTGCACACCCTGCTCTTTTCTCTACCTGAAGCGATCTATGACTGGGAACAGAAGAGTTAACGCAGTGGCGCGTTCCAGTGCCTAGAATGCAGGCACACCCAGCCAGTAGCTTAGCATGGGACAGGACTTCGTTGCTTTCTGTTGTCTTCAGCAGTCTGGTGGTGGAGTTGCTTGTCATGGGTGGTGGCAAGGGCTGGCTTAGAGGTCTGTGGTCCGTCACACAACATGGCCCCTGGAGGAGCCAGGCTATCAGTTGACATGGGGGAAAATCATATCAGCAAACTTCCAAGGATTCTATTTCCCCTTTCTGTATCTAGAATTGAGTTCGAGGATCCCCTAGACTCTTGAGACTTGGGTGTGCTCTCTGGGTCTCACTGTCCACAAACCCTCTCCCTGTTGTTCCTGTTGTTCCCAGCTCACTGCTCTAAAATCTCAGAAGCCGACTGCTTTTATTCTTTTGCTTAGGTGTATGTACGTGAGTGTGTGCGTGTGTGTGTGTGTGTGTGTATATATATGTGTGTGTATGTGCCATATGAGTGCAGGTACCCTCAGAGGCCAGAAGAAGGTGTTGGATCCCATGGAGCTGGAGTTACAGCGGCTGTGAGCTGCCTGATATGGGTGCTGGGAATTGAACCCAGGTCCTCTGGAAGAGCAGGAAGAGCACTTAATGCTGAGCCATCTCTCCAACCAGAGTTCACTGTTTTAAATCTTTTCCATATAACCCCACTGTCTTGGTCAGGGGTGGCTGTGGGCCCTGACTGACCAGCAGGACCTCTGGGACTATTAGAAGCCTGGACTTTACACCTGATCTCTGTTAACCAGCAGGTGATGGAGGCACTTATTTAACGTTTCTGAATTTTAGTATCCTCTCCTCCCCTTCCCTCCCCTCCCTTCCTCTCTCTCTGCGATAAAGTCTCCCTGTGAAGCTCAGGCTTACCTAGAACTCACAGTCCTCCTGCCTCAGCCTCCAAGGGCTATGATGACAGGCCTGTACCACCACATTTGGCTTTAGAACCCTCTTGTTTTGGTTTGGTTTTGTTTTTGCATGTATATGTATGTATGGTATGCAGGCATGTGTGTATCCCAATTTGCATGTCTGTGGGTGCTTGTGTGTGATTGTGCACATGCGTGTGGAGGCCAGAGGTTGATGTTGGATGCCTTCAGTAGCTCTCCACATTGTTTACTGAGGTATGGTTTCTTCTCTGAACCCAGAGTTTGGTTTATGTATTCTAGCTAGCTAGCTTGCCCCAGGGATCCTGACTCTGCCTCCTGTCCTGAGTGCTGGGCTATTGGTGAGATACCTGGCTGATTTTATGTGGGTGCTGGGAATCACACTCTAGTCTTCATGTTTGCATAGCAAGTGCTCCATCCACTGAGCCTCCTCCCCAGCCCCAGCATTCTTTTCTAACAGGAAGACAGCAATAACAAGTGTCTGAGGACAGAGGCAGGGAAATTCTGCAGAGGGCTCAGTGCAGTGCCTAATACGGTTACCTAAATGCTATAGGTTAGTGCCCCGGAAATGCTAGCTTTTGTGGTGTGGGGTGGTAATAACATAACCACCCAATAGGATGCCTCCTTCCAGGCCAGCCTCCAATGTAAGATGAAGCAAGCATGGACCATGTGCTCACACCCCTACCCGTACACAGGACTCATAGACTGCAGCCGGCACACAAAACTCACAGACACAATGTGGTAGGCGAGATGTCCAGATGGGGGTCCCTGTCTCACGGCTGTAGCAGGTGAGAAGTGAGCTTCCTTCGAGCACGAACCCAGGGCTGCAGGTATACTGGATGGTGGTGCCCACCAGCAGTACGGGGTCGGAGATCAGGCGGGTAGAGTGCTCTACCTCTCCGGGATCCGTGCAATACATAACTGCAGAGAGAGCAGCACAGCACAGTCACACCACAGAGAGGTACAGAAGGATCTAGAAAGTTTCCCAATTCCGTTCTCCACCCTTTGGAAGACTGCATCCTTTGCTTCATAAAAGTGAGAACAGACCTGGGAGAAGGAGACTGGAATCTAATCCCTCTTTTAGGAATTTGTCTGAAGCCTCTTTATATCCATGTCTAAGGTATAAATCGCCCCATTATGATAATGACAAAAAAGAAATGTCGAGAATCCTGAGGGGAGGCCTCAGTGTAAGCCTCCAGTCCAGGACCAAGCAACCGCTCAGGAGAGCAGGGGAGGGTTGCTCTGCTCTCTTTGAGACGCTCCAGACTAGAAAATAGCATCAATTACAGTCTAATTAAAAAATCAATACAGATAAGAAGAAAACAGTGAACCAATTAAAAAAGGAAGGAAACGGACACGGTGTGAAATGAAAAGATGTCCACAGTTCTCAGTCAAAAAAGCAGTCAGGAGGGGGCAGTCTGTACACATGGGTCCCTTTTCTCAGAATATCTACTTGCAGCTGTTCCTAGCTGTCTACCCTCCATCTGTCCATTCATCCATCCATCTCTCCATCCCTCCATCTGTATGTCCATCCATCCATCCATCCATCTATCCATCCA